ATTTCGAAATGACTTTTTTCTCCTTTTTTTTTCAAAATTTTGGCAGAGTTTCGGAATTTATCAAGTACCTACTTCTCACTCTTGTTTTTTTTTCTTCTTGTTTTTTTCTTTTTTTTTTTTTGATTTTTTTCCGTATTCTAGAAGTCGATCAATATGCAAGCTGAAACAAACAGATGCGTAAGTAGCACGTAAGATGCATCAGGATGGTCTTTTTAATTTGGGTACACCTGTCTTAGACGGACCCAACCCCTGCGTTGAGTCCCTAAAGTCAAATGCACGTGATGCGAATAAACGTTCCTACTAGGGATCCGGCATGAGGTTACGTTATTCTAAGTTTAAACCTGGGATTGTGTTCTAGACTTGGCTTACCCGAGCGAACAGACTCGAGCCGAAGAGGGGGCAGCGTACCGGGAGCACGAAAGTCTGTCCGACCTTGTTGTTGGTCCAGCCTCGTTCTATTTGGTATAACTTCTAACAGAAAAAGTGGGTCACGCGAACGTGTGCACCGTTTTTTAGAAGACTCAGAAGGGAGGCGTAAGAAAATATTTAAATACAGTTCTAGTAATATCAAAGCGGTAAATAAATGGCAATTAGCACAGTCCACAAAATACAGTAATATCAACAATAAATAAAGTCAAATAAAAATCACATTAATAAGCTCGAATTCTTGAACCCTGAACCAGAAGTTCTGAGTTCTGTTTCCCCAGCAGAGTCGTAAGAGCTTTCACACCTCCTTTTTACACCCCGAGTACATATGGGAGTTTTTCCAATTAAAGTGACATTAATCGAAATGAGATTTATTAATTTATCAGAGTCGCCACTTGGGATAATTTATGGTGTCTCAAGTCACCGATTTATTTTAAATCCCAAATCGAGGAAGTTCTTTTTTTAAAAAAAAAATCTGCAAACCAGAAATTCTAGATAAGGAATTTTGTTAACCCGGGAGAAGGTGTTAGGCATTCCCGGATTCCGTGGTTCTAGCACGGTCGCTTAGTGATTTATACTTGGCTTAAGTTGTTTAACTACTCATTTTTAAGACCTATGTGCATTTATCTTTTTACCGCCTTTAATCACTTGACTTGTTCGTAATTAAAGAATTGAGTTACTCGTACGTATACTCTTTTCCTTTGGCTCGTCAAAAAACATGTCACGCAAACGTGTCCACAATTAATAACACTTTGTTTATTTTTTAAGAAAAGTTTTGTTGAAGTTGCGCGAACGCATTCCTCGAGTTACTTTTAGAATTAAATTTGCAATTATGTTATGTGAACGTATACGTAATCACAATACTAGTCTAAATCGAGCCTAAAGCAAATTACGATTATTCAATTTTTTCAAAGAAATATTTGTGAGGGCCATGGATGATTTAATTTATTTATGGCATACCTCAAACCTTTTCTATAAGTGTTAGTCTCTTAATCTAATTCATAAGGGCCATGAATTATAGAGAAATTCAAAAGCAAGCCACCTAAAGATCGGCTATTCAATTTCTGATAACATAATAGAGATTTTGGTATTCACCATAAGAATGTCATCCTCTCAAGGATTCCAAAGAATTTATTGATTACAAAGCGCGGAACTGAATTCAAAGGAAAGAAAAAAGTATTACATGATTTTTCAATCCATTTGTGACGTGTAAAAGGAAATAGTTTATGCTTTTCCCACTATTTTTTCAATAGATCTATATATTCAAACTTATGACAACATGTAATTCATGTTCAAGTCTTGAGTTTTTTAAAAAAAAAATTAGTGTTGGATTAAAGTAAAATTAGTAACACAAGCTGAAAATTTTAGCGCAGAAATAAGAAATCGTCATTCATCATGCTCACAAAATATAATGGAATTTACATCCTAGTATTGCAGCATTTCCGCGTCATCTGATTTAGATTCTGCCAAAACTTAGGTCGTCTCCTAAGAAACGCCCAAATGGAACTCAGCAAAATGTAGCAGCAGCAAATTCAACAACCTTCGGCAGCCTTTTAAAAACAAATAAAAATCGTTCCCCAAAGCTTATTTTCAGATCTCTTTTTTTGAGTTTTTGAAAGTTTTTTGTTTCTAGCTTTAAGCTGAGAGCTTCACGTGTGTGGTTTTTGAGAAAATGAAGATGAAGCAAGAAGAAGAGGGGTCTGATCCGTTTTTTAAAGGGAAGGGCTTCTTCATTTTTTTTCTGTAGCTTTTAGAAGCAGAAGATGAAGAACGGCTTCAAGTTGCGCCGTTTTCTCTGTGTATTTCTAAGGGTGGTCTGATTTCCATCCCCTTTTTGTCTAGTTCTATTTAGCAAACAGATTTTCAAAAACCTGAAATTTCGTTTGGCAAAATGGTTATTGACATAATGTATACATGGCTAGAATTTAACATGATGGCCAAATAGATATTACAACATTTTTTAGCTAATGTCAACTTGATTCCATCTCATCTCAACAACAATTAACAGACAACACTCCAAACAAGAATCTCATACAAGAAATAAATACTTCAGCAGCATTACAGTGTTTAAAACGAAGTGGATATCTATACAACTCACAGAATTTCTGGGAAAATTTAAACGGAGATCCAACCACGCGATTTTCGTTATCAAAAATATAACCCTAGAAATTTACTCTCTCCTTCTGAAAATTTTCCTACATTTTTTATCTGATTTTTCTTTCACCTAACAAAGAGACTTACCTCGTATATATAGCTTTCAAAAAATCTTCCAATTTCTGCCAAAATCCGAAAATCCTTCAAATTTTTTGAACAATTTTTGGGACAAATGGAGGGCGAGGATCGATTTACATCTATCCACGACTCTCATTCATCCAACAAATCGTCCTTTCGTACCCGAAATCGTGCGATTTTGAGGGAATATTCGTACTCTTCTGACAAATCCGTTGGGAATGAAGGTGACGTGGAGGGGAGGGGACCATGTGAGTGAACTCGGAAATGAGTTAAGGCGACTTGAAGAGGAAGACGATGAAGGAGCAGTAGGGTGCGCCGCTTCTGAGGTTGGGTCTAGGGTTTGGGAATTGGAGGAAATGTTTATAACAGGGGTTTTATTATATTAAAGGCAACGGGCGGGTCAAAATAACGGGTCAGATCCGGTTTGTTTGGACTGGGGCGTGAATGTTTGGCTTGGGGATTAATTGATTATACGGGAGGAACGATTGGGCCGAATTTGGGTGTTTAAAGATGGCCCAATTCAATTCTTTTTCCAATTCTTCCTTTATTTCTAAATTCCTTTTCTTTTCTTTTTCTTTTTTTCTTTTTTTCTAATTACAAATACTAATAACTAAAAAATTCTAAATTATCTAAAATGTGAAATTGAAGTAATTAACTAATTATAAAAATTATAAACATCACTTAAGTCTAGATTAAAAGAGAAAAATCAATAAACTAAGAATTAAAAGACAAAAACTGTAAAATGAGCTATTTTTGTGATTTTCAAGTTTTTCTAAATTAAATAATTACTGATTAATTGTAAAAAATATAACAACAAATTCTAAATGCAATGCATGATATTTTTGGTATTTTTCATGATTTAAATAAATTAAACATGCACAGAAATGCAAATAATTCAGAAAATTCTACAGAAATTCCTAAAATGACCAATAATTAACAAAAATCTATTTTTCTTGAGATTTTATAGGAGTATTTCATATGGGGCAAAAATCACATGCTCACAGTTATAATATCACTTGGAGGATTATTTCTTTCTAAGAGGTGTGAATCTATTCACCTTGATTAGAAAGATAAAATGCTTAGCACACATGTTTGATCCATGTTGATGGAAATTCTAGCATATGTGGTCGTAGATAGAATTCATACCTTAAAATGGTGCGATGCCTGCTACGATTCATTGTTAGTTTTTCTATTGAGACTGAATGGATTGTTATATGGGTCATTCTATCCTTGGCTATGTGCGTAGTGTGGCCACCGTATAGTCTAAAGTCCTTTTTCAAAATGATTTTCTTAAAAACTCAAATATTTAAAATTGTTTTCTTGTCCTCAATTGACGTCGGCGTCCAAGTGGGAGAATGTTGGAATTTGGACTTACATTAATTGGTTATAGCCTAAAAGGATAGTGACATGGCCCAAGTGGTGGACAAATAAAAGGCCTAATATTAAATATTGTGTGTGTGGATAAGTGAGGTCCAATAACTATTGGCTTGTGATGAGTAGACACTCTTTATAAATAGAGGTCAACCCCCCTTTTTTCTAGCTATTAGAAAACCCTAGCGTATTCTGCCTCTTGAATACGTGGCAATGGTAGACGTCCCATCAGTCAAGTTCTCCGGGCTGTGAGAGCGCGTAGCTAGTGGATTGTGGAAGTTGGTCTCAGGCTTAATCGTCGTTTGCTGTCCCTGCTGAATTCATGAAGTTTAACGGTACGCTTCCTTAGACTCTAACTCTAGATTGATTGTGTAATTGTGTCTTGATCTCTATTATGGCTACGAATTAATTATCTTACATCTAAGATCTAGATCACTTTTGCTGAGTGGCTAGGTGCTCTTTAGTTTGTATACTTCTTTATTGTTATTAATAGTAATTCACAGTGTTACCAAAAAAACATTGACATTTAAGATAACAAAATTCAAAAAGTATTTTTAGTTTATGATACATATTTTTAGTTTAAGATTTTAAGATTTAATGTTTTTTTAGATTGCTAAATTTCGTGGTAATTCAAACTAAAATATATACTCCATCCATTTTAATTTATATGAATTTATTTTTTTTAGTCCGTAATAAAAAGAATGACTCTTTTTCATATTTTGAAACAATTTACCTTTATATAATAATTTATAACAACACAAATATTATTATACCATAATTTTCTTTTCTTTTTTAAATTTTTTTTATACCCAGTCAAATAAGTTTACATATATTGAAATGGTGGGAGTATAAAATAAAACGATTGATGTAAACTAAACATATCGTTAAAATGTATGCCACGGACCCACGGTGGTACAAGCTGTACACAAAGGACTTTAGATGGACATTACGAGGTAATCATTCACACAGCAAAATAGATTAGCACCTTACACAGCCGCGTGTCAGAAAAAACACCAGAAAAAAAAAATCTCTTTTTCTCCGTACAACCCCCATACGTCTTAACGCCTGATTCCATCCTATGCATAATTTGTGATTTTGTAAAGATAGCCGTATTTTAATTGAACACAACATAATATAGCGTTCAAATTTGCAGGCTTGTCTAAATCACCCACATACATGTTCCTATATGTATCACGATTTCGTCACGTTTATGTAGGAAGACGAAGCTGTTCTTGCAACATATATCTGTATATATACAATTTAAATATATCAATTATTTGGGAGTGATTTTTGGATAATTGATTCGTTATACCTATGCAATTTTTCTCTCCAAAGTATAGTTGGTCCAAACGCGGATAAAGGAGGATGGTGTTAAAATAGTTTTGAGGCTAATTGCTTGATTGATAAATTTGTATATACAATAGATAGGGGAAGCGATGGGAGCTGTAACGTCGTCGATGGCGGCAAAGTTTGCATTTTTTCCGCCAAATCTGCCGTCGTATGGGGTGGCGGTGGAAGAATCAACGGGAAAACTTAAGATGACAGAGGTGGTGCAGAGGGAAGACGTGGACATTTTGAAGCTATGGACGAAGAGAGGGACGGAAATTATGGCCATGTACGTGAGGAATCCGGCGGCAAAGCTGACGCTGCTCTACTCTCACGGCAACGCAGCTGATTTGGGGCAGATGTACGATTTGTTCACCGAACTTAGTCTTCATCTCCGGGTCAATTTGATGGGGTATCCTTCTCTCTGCTCTTTTTTAGTACTCTCATTTTATATCGCTGTTTGGGTACAGTTTTAAAGGGGAAAAAAGCCTTTTGATACATACCAAAAATTTGAGATCAATTGTATACAACGTGGATGTGTTTATCAAGACTTTGCTGTCTGGCAGCTGGAATTCCAAATCCGTAGGTGCACTTCTTAATGTGTGTGTATGCATATTTACATATTAAAAGAAAATGTTAAACTTTATATCTTACTATATTAATTTTCTATATCATATTTGAGACAGTGAGTTTCTATATGCTGGATGATACTCGTGTATGAGTCCTATGGGGTTCTGTTATGTATGCGCTTGCCAATTCAAAACAGAATGAAGCGACCTTAAGCCTAATGTCTTAGATGAATTTTAGTGATTCAGGAATAAGCTTGTGCTTGTTGCAGAAAACTTTGACCCAAAGGAGATGATCTATTATTCCTAGTTATTTTGTATATGCTCTCTTCATGTGAAGAGAACACTAGNCCCCCCCCCCCCCCCCAATGCAAATTTGCACTGCAGTGATACTTTCACGTGGTTTGGGAACTACTATTTCCAGCCTTACCTGGTGCATATGCCTTAATGTTGACAAAACTTGTTTCTTCTATGGCAAAAGATAAACTTTCTTCTTAGTTACGTGGTTTGTAAAATGTGACAGAACATGTAACATTGACATATACCATCTTGGGAATCTCTCATGCTCGTCAGAGACTTCCTGGTCTTCAAAGTCCGGGATATGCTCACTTTTCCTTCTCCACTGGATTTCTTTCTCTCCTCGCTTTTAATCTGAGTGCCTAATTTTATTTGAACAGCGCCTTTGGGCAGAGGAAGCTTGAAGGAACAGTTGCTGCAAGTTTTGGAAAGTTTGCTTAGTCTTTCTTTTGTGGAACACTGAAAGTTTTGACTTTAAATCCCACCCCTTAATTTATTTAATAAAAGATAAGATATATGGATCCAAATTACCTCAAAATTTCTGAGTTTCCTCTCTTTTCTGGCAGGTATGACTATTCAGGGTATGGACAGTCCACTGGCAAGGTATGAAATATTTCTTTAGATGATTAAGTTTAGGCAGTTCAAGAAGAAATTACTTGACTCTGTATTCTTATTTTGCTATAGCCAAGTGAGCAAAACACTTATGCCGATATAGAAGCTGCATATAAGTGTCTTGAAGAGACGTATGGGGTGAAGGAGGAGGATATAGTATTGTATGGACAGTCTGTTGGTAGTGGACCAACATTAGATTTGGCATCCCGCTTATCAAGATTGAGGGCTGTGGTTCTACACAGCCCAATTCTCTCTGGAGTTCGCGTCTTGCATCCAGTTAAGCGGACATACTGGTTTGACATATATAAGGTTAATATTCTATTCGTCGTAGTTATGTGGAGCTTTGTTTGACCTATTTTTTTTATATTCAGCTGTTTTTCTTTCTTTTCTCTATGCAGAATATTGACAAAATACCATTGGTTGAGTGTCCTGTCCTCATTATCCACGTGAGTATCCATATTTTCTTCATGAATATATCACATTTAACTAGGAATTGGCCATGAATTAGTAAGCATCGATAAGTAGCAAAACTGACTCACTGGTTCAAAGCTGCAATCTAGCAGGTTTGGCTTCCATCTTGTTGAACTCTTTTAGGACTCCTCCATAGCTGCTTAGTGCTGTCCTCTTCTTCTAGGCCAAATTCATTGTGATTTTTGGTTACAAACTGATGAGTCAGTTGGTTTTACGGTTGATTGGTCGAAAGATGAAACTGGGCTTTCAAGCCAGAAAGGAAGTCCTCTAACTCATCTAATCCCAAGAAAAAGAAGCCGCCGCATATGATTGAAAGTACATTAGTATCACCGAGGCAAAAGAAAAGCAGGTGGCATTGCTTAGCTTAGGACTCTTTGCTGCAGCCGATGTGCCTGTTGAGGTGGATATTCTAGTTTCAATGCGTGTTCTTTGCTATTGTGCCTCCGGTTTGACCAAGTCAAGCTTCCCAATAGGAAACCTGTAAACTTTTGAGGGAGTAACAATTCAATTTACTCCCTTATTCCTCTTCCTCCTTCCAGTCTTCCCCTGCCAGCTTCTACTCCACTCCTGTCCCTGCCATTTTCCACTGTTCTTTTTGTAATGCATTTTGTTCATCTCTTTTCCTTGTCCTTACATTACCTTATCTCATTGACAAAAAGTCTTGTTTTTATCAATTAATCATGAACATGGCGGATCCAGGATTTAAACTTTATAGCTTTTAAGATTTTTACCATTGAACCCGTTATATTTTTTAAGTTATGGGTTCATATCTGCTATTTATTACAATTTCAGTGAAGTTTTACATACAAATTTATGATCCGCACCGAAAGTTATGGGTTCAGTTGAACGTGTACGGTACATACGATGGTACATCCACCCCTGATAAGTTATGCCTTTGTTTTTCAATTGATTGTTACCCAACTAGAGAATAGTATAAGAAATTAAATTCAGTACCCGAGAGAATGGTAGAGATAGAAGACCTGTATAGTTTGGATGGATCGACTCCTTGGTAGAGATAGAAGACCTCTATGGTGGCACTTGCTTCTAGAATTTCTAGCTGACATCCCCATCTGATCTTTTATTACTTTAATTTCTAGGGCACTGCAGATGATGTTGTGGATTGTTCACATGGTAAGCAGCTGTTTGATCTATGTAAGCAAAAATATGACCCTTTGTGGGTTGAAGGTGGTAACCATTGTGATTTGGAGCTCTACCCCGAATACATAAAACATCTGAAGAAGTTCTTATCAGCTGTTGAGAAATCTACGGTTTCTAAAAATGGAAATGCACCAAGTATGGACCAAATAGATAAACTTGAAACATCGAAATAGCAGAGATTGTAGACGCAGGCCATGCAAACACCAGAAGGAGAAATCTAGACCAAGTACAGAAAAGCGAGAGAAACTCTATAAGCAAGCACAGATCAGATAGATTTATCAAGCAAGAGTATCGATCTAGCAGAAAGGACCAATAACAATTTGGACCCGCCAGAGAAAGCAAGAAACATGTTTGTGTAAATTTTCTACTTTTTGTGTATACTTCTTGTGTACGGGAGATTTTCTCACTTCAATGAAATTAATTTTCTTCATAAAAAAGAAAAGCAAGAAACAGCATTTTCTTCATATTATACTAGCTGGCTAAGAGTGTCTTTCATCTTTTGTTTCCTTGGTCTAATTAGCATGATCTTGTATAAAACGCGATCTCTGCTTTAACGAATGATAGGTTCTACTGGTGGCAGGTTTAATGATATTATGAGATCAGCCGTGTTATATATGCAATATCAACTGCTTCAAGAGTGTATAATTTCTCAGTTACCTCACCTATGAAAAAAGAGAATTTTTCAGTTAGCTCTATCTTTTGAGTGGTTTGATTGCTTTTGTAGTCATTTTTCCATCTCTTACTTCCAGTCTTGCTTTAATAGGCTAGTCATGTATACATTTAGTTAAATGATAATATGGTATGCTTTTGCATGTGTCTGAAATAAAAACTTAAATCATCTCACCAAAGGGATCAGAGGGAGCTTCGATTGTGTCTATGGCAAATTCCTGTTGTTTATGGTTAAGCTTTTAGCTTTCAAGACCCTTTGCAGATTCTTGAATTTAGTTCTCTTTTTCAAGTCTTTAGCTACCACTATCTGTGTAATAACAAAAAAATTGAGATAGAAAACGATTAACGGTGTATGTTCTCCCCTGCGAATGAGTTGTGGGGGCATCTTTCATTCCCTTGAAAGAGATCACAGGTGCAGTGCCTATTCACTTTGAATATCTTGAGGCCCGAATTTATTGGTGTATGTTCTCCCCTCCGAATGAGTTGTGGGGGCATCTTTCATTCCCTTGAAAGAGATCACAGGTGCAGTGCCTATTCACTTTGAATATCTTGAGGCCCGAATTTATTGGTGTATGTTCTCCCCTCCGAATGAGTTGTGGGGGCATCTTTCATTCCCTTGAAAGAGATCACAGGTGCAGTGCCTATTCACTTTGAATATCTTGAGGTCCGAATTTATTGATGTTGAAGAATCAGCAGATGAATAGTGGTTAGAATAAGATATCAATCAAGCGAATAGAGAGTAGCCCTTTTTTAATTAATCTGGTCATAAATTTGATTGTAGTCAAATTGTTGAGTTCAGAGAAGATGCCTCCAACTATGCCCTTTTTTTAGTTGATGTGGCCATAAATTTGATTGTAGTCAAATTGTTTCGAGTTTAAAGACGAAGATGCCTCCAACTACCTGGCCAAATATGCATAATAGTGTAGGGAGCAGGTAACAAGTCCCATTCTCAGACCGGTACTCCACACCGTGGTTCTTAGCCACGTGCTCTATTTGAAAAAGCATTTAACAGTATGTTTTTTTTGTTTTTTATTTTATAAGGTAAAATTTTATTAATAAAGTACCAAGATGGTACTGTTGAAGTTTGGCAAAATGCCAAAGTCCCACATTGGTTGGGAGTTAAGTTTGGGGGG